GCCCTCTCAGCTTAGTTCTGCGTGCGAGGGGGCACCCGAAAGCGAGTATGAGCCGGGCAGGAGCAGCATGATGGTGCAGCATCCAATGTCGTCACACTGCCGGCATTTATTGCTGACACGTGTCGATTGCCATATAGACTGACACGTCATCGTTGTCAGGTAAAATAGCAAAGCGCGATTGCTAGTCAAACTAGCGGCCAGCGACCCCCTTTGCCAATCTTTTTCTGAGCAGTACAATGCATATGCAGGCAAATATCTTCGCATGACTCTACATAGCTTAGCCCCCACCCTTTTTGCGGCTGACAATAACGGATATGCGCAGCTTTCTTCACATATCACATTTACGACGAAGGGAATCCTGATGCGAGCGAGAGTCNTCTTTGCGGGACGCAGCAAGATCTTCAGAGCTAGCGGCGTCGGGGAATGCTCGAGTTGGATCACAGGGCCTGTTGCAGCTCGCAAAACAAGGCAAGTCGCTTGCATTGCGGATCTCAATCGATCCGTTGACCTTGAAGCTTCGAGTCGACAGCGCTTGCCGAGTGACTCGGGCATCACGGCACTCATAGAGACGATTCTTAGCGAACGTGCCTTNAGGCAGACCAGAGGAGCCAAGATGAGGCGTCGAAATTTCTCTCCGCTTGCTCGCAGACCTCCACAGGCACGAAATACATTTCACATAGTACCGTCTCGTCAGTTGTCCTGCATGGCAGTATTTCACATGCTGTAACGCTTGCGAGAGATGGCGCGAGCAAGAGCGCCATTGTTGTTTCGCAGCACAGCAGTCGGACAGCGGACGGCTCATTCCGCTTAGCGACTTAGCAAGNTGCCGAGCGTTGCATTACAGCTCAACAAGTAGCTCGGTAGGAGTGACGGGGCTCAGCGGCGCACATCTGCAATTCTCGTTGGCGGCGCGCTGAGCTAAGGATTGAGTCTGGCTCTGGCCGGCTTGGCTGTGAGCGCTGCCATTGCTTTGCTCTGCACGGGCACATGATGAGACAGATCAATCTTCGATCCTCGTTCGCACTGATCTTAGCCTGTTGAGACTCTGGATCGACGAAACCTCTGGTCGTATCTTCATCGGCGACGGGATCAGAGCCCATCATATGGAGCTTCGTAGGACTGTAGGTTCGCGGCATGAGCTCTGGCTGCATTGCTGATTGCACTTGATCCTCCTGAGCTGCAGTGGTCAGCGCAGCGCCCTTGGACCGAGCGGGTTCGTTCGCTTCGGCATCTCGCAGGTAATGAGCGCCAATCGAATCGCGATCATTGCCAAGCATCTCGTCGAATCCCTCCTTGAGATGGATTTACTTCTCTGAATGATCGCGGCGATGCTTCTTCGCTCCGTTCGAGCTTGGATCCAAAGGCTTGATGAGATCGACTCGCCAGAGCGGCCTCACTTGGGCACCTTTGTGAGCGAGCTGGCTATGACAAAGATCGTCACTCCCTCGACGATGGTGTTGCTATTGCTGGGCAGCAAGCCAGTCTTATTCGCATAGTCGGGTCTGTCGTCGTCGCGTGCTGGCTCGAAGCCAAGCTTGCCGCTGCCTCTGGCGATGCCCTTCCCAGCAGCTTTGCCATGTGTGAGGCCTGTACATATGCCTGAGGGCCTATCATCGGCGAACATTGTACGGCCGTTCCAGGTGTCCTTTGCCAGCAGCGGAGTCCAATACTTCGTCTTCGTCGGCAGCTTCATTCTGTGCCGGCTGATTTGTATCGCCGATCTGACTCGTCAACCTGACTGGACTCTGTTCTCACAGCATGCCGATGACAATCCAGTNGCGTTCGATGGGCNGATCGGGATGGCCGGCCGGCCGGGCGCTTCACGCACCACNAAGAAGATCAGCCATAAGAGNAGTANAACCGGTCTTGGAGATGCTGGTCCCAGGGGAAGGCTCAATCTGCTGGTAGTCTTGATCGTCTGGACGCTGCGTATGAGGCATGGGAAATGACTCGAGATCTTTGACAACTCTCAGTCCGTCATCACGCAGACGTGCTGATTCAGGCGAGCATGATTAAACGGCAGACGGTCTGTTTGCGTGACACGCCACGTGCTTGCATGAGGCTGCTCGTCTGCCTGGGGTATACGCTGAAGCCTCCTTGCAGCTGATTCGCCAGAAGACGTCGAGCGAGGTGCATTGCCTCGGATTTGCTGATGCTGTAAACGAGTATGCGCCTTTATAGATGCAGCCAAGAACGAGGATGCGGCTGCATTGTATCGCATTGAGCACACTGCAGGAGGAAGAGCAGGGCAAGCGACGTACGCTTGTCTCGTCGCTCCGTGAGGTTGCGAGGCTTACGCTCGGCTGCGAGCGCCCGTGCAAGCTTTGAAGACCGGCTCTGGGCTGTCCGCGGCAAGGCAATATCAGTGTGATGAGCTGCTGGCGCCGTCACTGATCCTGGCGCGTAGGTCAAGGCATGCTGAGATGGTGCTTTTAATTTCTCTGCATTCTGCATGGTTCAGCTTGTCCTGCTGCCAGACTCATCGAAAGCTGCTCACTCGGCGATGCTACGACCAGAAGCTCTTCGTCGGATTCTTCGACGGTCATGCAGCCTGCTGGGATCGTTGCTCGCAACAGCCTCGTCACGAGACACAAGTCACGATCTTCACGAGTCTGATTTTGCTTGCCGGCAGGCTCTTCCAGCAGCAGTCAGCTCGCAATCTGAGGCAGCTACGCGTTTTGCGGCTGACAGAGCCAGACACCGACGGGCAAGATATCTGCTTTAGACGATTGTTTTGAGATCAGCCGTTTTCAGTTGATCAGTCAGAGTCAGCGGAATGTGACACAGCAGTCGGCGAGGCGCTCGCATCAGAATTCTCTCCGTCGTAAGTATGAAGAAGCTGCTGCGCATAACCGACATTGTCAGTCGTAGAAAGGGTGGGGGCCAAGCTATGTAGAGTCATGCGAAGATAGTTGCCTGCATATGCATTGTACTGCTCAGAAAAAGATTGGCAAGGGGGTCGCTGGCCGCTAGTTTGACTAGCAATCGCGCTTTGCTATTTTACCTGACAACGATGACGTGTCAGACTATATGGCAATCGACACGTGTCAGCAATAAATGCCGGCAGTGTCACCACCCGCGCGACTCGCTCGACTTGGCCACGGTGTTTCCCCCTACTCGACGATGCTCAGCACCTGTGCACGGTCGGCTCGAGCACTGAGATCGCCCGCTAGTGCTCT